ATAAAATGTCTCTGTAAAATACACACTGGCTCTTTAAGAGATGTTTGGAAAACCTGGAGAACTGATGAACAAACTTTAATTTTAAATCAAATCTGGCTGATTGAGACAAAACTCAAAGTGCAAGTTATGTTTGCTGAAAATCTAACTGTCTGTCCACTGTTGCATAAAGCTTTTGATCAATGCAGATTAAGGTTGAAAAAGTGCCAATGAGGATGAAATTAATTGGCAGCTTGAACAAACGGTTATTTTGGGCTCCACTGCAGAATCATCTCTTCTGATGAACCGAGCTTAAAAGAGAAATAACCCCAGATCACAATGTGTAAATTTCAGCCTTTATGATTCCTCCGAATGTCGTCCACCCACGTCCTCGTGTAGATGGAGATTTTCCTGTGCGCCATCACAGGGGAAGCAGCAGAGATGGTTGTTCACAGATGACCTTTGACCAGCCACTGGGGAGGCGAAGGGGGAGCCAGCTTGTGCCTTTGGAGCGGCTGGCCTCTGATGTGATGGCTCCAGGCAGTGGGCTTTGCGGGAACCGATCCCCGATGGGGCCCCCCTCGTCACTAGATCCTCTGCATTATTCATCGCGGTCCGCGGCGGAGGCAGGCGGAAAACGAAATAAAAAGCGTCAAGGTTCAGGACCTTCTCAGATCACAAGGAACTTCTGCTTAACCTCCCTTGAAGTGATAAACACAGGAATAGAGTATGTTTTCTTTTTTTTAAGCAACTGGATCTGAGAGTAGGACTGGAGATCAATGGGGATTCCCTGGAGGCTTAGAGGAGATCACATTCACTGCGAGGTGATTGGTGGATCAATGCGGTTCCCATGGTTCACTTTGCCATTGTGAGAACGGATCCTCTTCATCCCAACCAGTTCAGAGATCTCCCAGTTTACTTTCTAGATCACAAGGAAACATGCAACAAATTGCATAATCTGCTAATTGCATAATTGGTTGACATGTTGTAACCAGGAGCGCCGACCCAGTCCCTGGGTTAGTGGGCTGCGTTAAGACATTTTTGCACAACATCCGGCTTTCGCGACGCAGCAGCGAGAAGACGGATGAACGCGCTTGCAAGCCAGATTAATTCACGGAGGCAGGCGGATAAAATAAACCAACATCTGAGGCTGTGGAGCAGATAAAGTGGGGGTACCCCGCCATCTCTCTGCTGTAATTATTGGCTAATAGTCATTAACCTGGCAAACAAAAGGTTTAGCTGCATTGTTTAAAGGACTCTGGGATGCATAATGACAGACTAATATGTCATAGCACTAGGGGAGAGGGGGAGGGGTGGATTAATGAGATTTTACTGAAGGGAGTGTACAAGAAGAGGTGGGGCACGGCTGGAAAATAGAGAGGGAAGAGGGCCACATTAAGCTAATTGGAAGATGAGTGCCTACTTGTAAAAGTGCTTCTAATGGTGTATTTGTTTCTCTTGCTGCAGCGCAGAGCTAATGCAGGGGAGTGCAGCTGCAAGACTTAAAGTAGTAAAGATTATGAGGGCAAGCGTTCGTCTGCGAATGTGTGTCAATACGCTTTACACCAGGGGTGTCCAAACCTTTTGTCATAAAGACTCAAAAGGTAAAAAGACAAAAAACAAAACAATGTTCCTTCTCCACAATAAAGTAAGCATGCTTCATTAAATAAATAAATATAGCAGTCTGGTTTGTAGTTGGGAATAAAATGTGTAAATTATTATAGATTTAAATCTTAAATTGAGTTTGCCTCATTAAAAGAAAGTTTGCAAATTTTCTAGGTATGGATTGGAAAAAAGAACAAAATTTATTTAATTGTGAGCAATAAAATCAGGATTTGGTTCATTCTTTCTTTGAAAACACTTGCTATACTAAGCCAAGTTTAATATGTTGATAAAAAGCAGATTTGAGTAAAAGTCACTGGATCCTTGCAGCAAAAACAGAGTTTCACCATTTAAAGACAAATAGAAACAAGATTCAATCTGAGATCATTTATCCCCATTTTACAAAACAAACTCTCCATCTACATCAAACAGGAAATTTAGGTAATTATGGACCTGAAATCAGGGGCCACACTCAGTCATCTCACGGGCCGCAAATGGCTCCCGGTCCTCCCTTTGGGCATCGCCGCTGCAGACGCTGGACATTAGCGCTCGCAGCTTCATCATCAGAAGCTGCTGCAGGATGGACAGCTCATGTCTTCCTGCAGATAATTCTTTTATTTCTGAACTTCTGTTGACATTGGGCTTTGAGAGGAGCGTTTATGATTAATGCAGCGGCTTCGTCTGGATCTCCGGCTGCTTCCTGAAACGACGCTGAACAGTGAACAGCGGTTCTCTGCTTTCTGATTCACTCCAACGCCTCTGGACTCTTTGAAGACAAAATATACTGTCTTTTTCCTGCAAGTCGGAAATGTTCGTCTTAAGGACAGCGTTTCAATCTGAACTCATTAGCAACTCAACACTTTTTGCATTATAATGACTTGCAAAAGTATTTATAACTGCTGAAGTTTTTGATTCCAATCCATTTAAACGTCTCATCCAGTCTGTCAGTCTGGATGGAGAGCATCTATTCTAAGTCGGGCTTTGGCTAGGCCATCCTAACACATGATAATCTTTTGATTTCTCAATCTTCTATCAAACATTGAGCTTCATGACGCAGCCACCATCATATCAGCTGCACTTTATTTCATTTTTAGGCGTCAGAGTCAGGCTGAGTTTTAAAATGTTGTGTTTAGTAAACGGCGTGACGTCGTTGCAGCATTCTCTGAAAACAAAGAGCACTTTCCAATTCGTCTATGAGGAGTGAAAGTTGCGCAGCGTTAACTGTATTGTGAAAATCTTGCAAGTTTTTCCTTCCACTGAGCTGCTGTGAGCTACTTTATAAACGTGTGGTCACATAAAATCCATGCAAAAGAAAACGTTTGCGGTTCTATCGTGACAATGTAAATACTTTCCCAAAATGACATCGAAACACATGATTATATGATGTTGTTCATTTTTAAGGTGCAAATTTCCTCAATTTCACCTTGAAAATCCAGAATAAAACGTGTAAATAAGCAGGCGACCTCTGCGTGTTTAAAAAGTGTTAAAAAAGAGTCAGTTTTTGTTTCCCTGCAGTGTAAAACCCAGACTGCTGCTCTTCTTAGAATCCTGATTTCTTAAGAACATTTTTCAGATGGTGGAACTATTCACAGATTCACTTTCTAATTTACTTTCATTATTTTGTTTCAATTAAATCAAATGGAAGTGCTAATGCCCGCATGGCCATGCAGTATGAAATAATGGTGTCCAGGCTAGAATTTAAAGTCGTACCTCCAGGCTAAAACTCCAGAGCGCACACAGAATGAAAGTGTAAAATGTTTTTTAATGTATATTTAACAGCAAATACCCCAGTGACTATTGATGTTTCGTCTCAGAAGAATCTATTTCTCTGGTATATCTAAGGGCATGATATGAAACCACTCACACTTTTATTTCTTTTTCTCTGTTTTCTTCCTCTGTGTGTCTCCCATAGTATTTCTCCCTCTCTTTTCCCCCCGCTGTCTCTCTTTAAACATTTATCTTCTGTTTTCTCCTTACAGGCCCTTTGTGCTTTTGTGATGTTGGTTTTTACAGCTTTCTGCGCACCACAGTCACCATTTATCTTTTATAGATGCCAGCAGCAAGGAGCGCGTAAGAAATGCTACCATTTCAGCATGACTAATTGTCATCGCTCGGCGCTGCTCCCCTGATGGCCTGCAGTGTGTGAACCGCACTGTTTATACTTTACATTTCCATTTTGTTCACATAAATACTCCAACTCTGAATATTATCATCAGCTGCAGCGTGTTGCTCGGTTTGTGAACTCATTCGCCAGCAGCAATCTGACACAGGTGAAGATATGGGGCCCCAGAAGAGGAAAAACTATCAGAATAGTCTTTGCCTAAACTAAGGCTCATCATTATCTGTTTATGCTTGATGGTGAGCCCGTCTGCAGGGGCGCTGCCTTTCTTTTTAAATCTGTTTATTGCAAAAAATCCAAACTAAGTCAAAGCTTTACTTGGATCATTACCCAAGTCTCAACAGTAGATATTTTGATATTGAGCATCAGTTAATCAAAACTTTAATTTTATTGTAGTAAAACAAGATGCATTTTAAAAATGCTCAAATTTCACTTATAGTAAAATGTATTGAGAGAGTTTTACTAGAGGTGCACCGATTTATTGGCCAGCCGATTGATTGGTTTGGGACATCAGTGATCAGCCGGTACTGAAAACGGCATTAAAGTGTCAGGTGTCAAGGAAGGCGTGTCCAAACTGAGGCAAAACGTCTCACAGTAGATAATTGTTTTAGAAATGTAAAGATATTGGTTCCAAAAAACCCAAAACTGGAAAGAGAACAAGTGGTAAAGTGTCAAAATGATCAGCAGGCGCTCAAAAGTTAAACAAATGTGACCATAAGTTAGCAAAAACACAACATTTTCTGACTGTTGTCACTATTAAACAACCGTTAAATAACAGCTGAAAAGTTTGCAGAAATATCTACAAAGTGTTTTTTTTTTTTTTTACCATAACATCAAAACCATTATGAAAGCAATAAAATCTGAAGTCATCATGAAATTAAGACCTTCCAGTCTCTCAGACCTAACAAACCTCAATGTTTGTTAGGTCAGACAAATCTAAACCAATATTTCTCTTCTGGTTGTCTGGATTCAGGTGTTTGTCAAAGAAACGACACATTTGCTGCATTTACCACTAAATACATCCTGTGCCGCGTTTTTCTTCAGTAATGTTGGAATTGTTATGATTACACATTCACTTTGCCAATCTGCAGGACTGATCAGCACAAGAATAAGAGCGATTGTTGAGGGGTAAACCTTTGATGAAGCGTATCAGGTGTCGCTCCAGGGGACCTCTGGGTATCATGAATGGAAAAACCCGCCTTACCCCTTGCTCTGTATCTTCCTTTGACCAGAGTAATTATTCGCAATCAATAACAGTCTGTATCTTCTCTCTTGTCTCTCTCGTCTCTTCTGGGACATTCAGGATGCTGCAGGCAAGGTTTTGGACCGCTGGACCATCATGTCCCGTGAAGAAGAGATCATCACCCTGCAGCAGTTTCTGCGCTTTGGTGAGACCAAGTCCATCGTGGAGCTGATGGCTATTCAGGAGAAAGAAGGTCAGGCGGTCACAGTTCCCTCGTCAAAGACAGACTCTGGGATTAGGACGTTCATCGAAAGTAATAACAGAACCCGCAGCCCGGGGCTCTTGACACATCTGGAGAACAGTAGCCCCTCCAGCATTCATCACTTTGAGAATATCCCCAACAGCCTAGCCTTCCTCTTACCGTTCCAGTATATCAACCCAGTCTCTGCCCCCATGCTCGGCTTGCCCCCTAATGGCCTCCCAATGGAGCAGTCTGCCCTTCGGCTTCGGGAGCCCAGCCTCCCAAACCAAGGAGAGCAGGTGGAGACCAGCGAGTCAGAGGTGTCCCTATCGCCCTTCCGCACAGGTCAGAGCCCAAGTCGCGGAGTGCTGGGACCCATCAACAGCACTGAACCCAAGACAGAACCCAACAACTGTGCATCGCCCATCTCCCCAACCCCGTCCACCCAGCAAGCTCAGCAGCAGTCGTCCCTTCAGCAGCAGCAGCAGCAACCGCAGCAGGGCCAACAGCAGACCCAAAGCCAGTCTCAGCAACACAACAGTCTGGGCGATCATCCGGTGCATCACCACTTCGTCAAGGATGAGCCTTCGAAATCCATCAGCCATCCTTCATTCTCTTCCAAGATGCATCGCATACGCCGCATGGGAGCCACCTCACGCAAGGGTCGCGTGTGCTGCAACGCGTGTGGAAAGACCTTTTATGACAAAGGCACACTTAAGATACACTATAATGCCGTACACTTGAAGATTAAACACCGCTGCACCATCGAGGGATGCAACATGGTCTTCAGCTCCCTGCGCAGCCGCAACCGCCACAGTGCCAATCCCAACCCACGGTTGCACATGCCTATGCTGCGCAACAACCGCGACAAGGACCTTATCCGTGCCAATTCCACCACAGGTACGCCTGTCATCTCGAGCAGCAAGAACGGTAGCTTCACACTCACCAGTCCCGGGAGGCCACCGCTGGGTTTTACGACTCCCCCTGTAGACCCGATGCTTCAGTCCCCGCTGCAGAGTCCGCTGGTGTTCCCTTCACTGAAATCAGTGCAGCCAGTCCAACCAGTGCCCCCGTTCTACCGAACACTCGTGTCTCCAGCAGACCTCGTCAGCCCTCCAGTGTCACTGCCAACCAGCCCCATAATGCCCACTACTACCAACAGCACCACCCTGATGGACCAGCAGCAGCAGATCTTGGCTGCTGTTGTCTCGCATAACAATATTCATGTGTCAGAGGCAAGTCCAATGTCCCACCGGCTGTCCACTGGTGGCAGTCAGGACCTCACCACAAACAGTGACCCCACACCCAAGAAGAAACCTCGTAAATCGAGCATGCCAGTGAAGATTGAGAAGGAAGTGATTGATGTGGCAGATGACTTTGAGGACAAAGATGAGGATGACGATGACACTATCCACCATAATCACCAGGCCAGTCTTCTTCACAACAATATTAAAATCAACGGCAACTGCAACAGCAACAACAATGGCGCAGGTGGAACTGGCCACCACAGCGGCGGCAGTGGCCAGCAGTCGCCCTCCCAGGATGAGATGAGCCCTGGCCTGGCCCTTAGGGGGATGATGAGGCAAAGCGAGGACGAATGTAGGGAAGGGACTGGCAGCGACAGCAGAGGCGGCGCTTCAGAGCTGCGTTGTATGGACAGCTTTACGTCAGAAGATCAGGATCACGAGAGAGACTTTGAAAACGAGTCTGAAACCTCAGACTCCAAGATGTTCTACCGCGATGACCTGATGGATGGAGAGAAACATCAAAAGCACGGCAGAGGAGGAAGAGGCCTGGACAAGGAGCATGAAAACGAGCCCCACGAGGACGAACACTTGAGAAAAGACATCGAGGGAAACGGTCATTCCTCACCGTCTCCTCACGGGCCTCCGATCAAGATCAAAGAAGAGCTCAACGATCCGACTTACGACATGTTTTGCATGAGTCAGTACGGCCTCTACAACGGGGGCATGGCGGCAGCCGCCGCCGCCGCCGCCAGCATGGCCGCTCTGCACGAGAGCTTCATTTCCTCCATGGGGTACGGCGCGAGTCCACCCAAATTTCCCACATCTCAGTCACCCGAAGGAGACCCATGCTCCAGCCCTGACCCCAAGATCTGCTACGTCTGTAAGAAGAGCTTCAAGAGCTCCTATAGCATGAAACTGCACTACAAGAACGTGCACCTGAAAGAGATGCATGTGTGCACAGTGGCTGGCTGCAATGCTGCTTTCCCCTCCCGACGGAGCAGAGACAGGTGAGTGCAGCAGGACTCCAAATGACACCTAACTTTACTGTATCTAATGCATTTGATTTAAGCTTGATTCAGAACATGTTTTAGGTTTTCAGGTTCTACATTTTTCATCATGCTCCCTAATATTTTGCTTCCCAGCAGTCAAACTTTTCTTTTTGTGTCTTTTAAAGTTGTCTAGACCAACAGTTCTTCAGGCTTTCTAGAGGCATTTCAGTGTGTTTTATCTGCACACTGAATTTCCACTTACTTTCACTAAAGTCCTTGTATTGTAATACATTAAGGATTGGATTTGCTGTTTTACTCTGACCAATGAATCATTCAACTTAAAAAAATAAAATCTCCCAAACCTAAGGGATAGATAGCCAGGTGTTGTGTCTGCACTTAACCTGAAACTTACAGAAGCAAAGAAGCATGTTTTAAATTTCGTCTCAGGGCAGGCTGTTGCAAAGACACATTTTGTTTTTTACATGTTCAGCTCTGAAACGTGCCAAAGGTAACAAGTTTGAGGCATGAAATAATATTTTTGCATCAACAAGATGATTTCCAGTGAGCCATTTGCCAAATGTTTTGGCATAACTGGGCTGCATGCGTACGCCGTGTCCTCATTAAATCGAGAAAATCCGAACAAGCAGGGAGGAAAAAGCCATGCAGACACAAAACTTGTTTTTTTTTTTTTTTTTTTTCTCTTTACATTTGAACTTTTATGATTTACACAGTGCTGTCTGCACTTGTTGGCGCCCGTTGTTGCCACTCTGGGGAGATTCATATCTCCCTAAATCTTCCTCTCTGAGCACGGCGGCAGTATGAACTTCTCCTCTTTGTCCGAGTTAGTTGAACTCATCTGACTGGAGATGTGAGTAAGTTTAGATAAGTAGACATTTTATCGCACTGCTGCTAAATCCTCAGCAAGAAAAACAGCTACTGGTTCCCTAAAAGTTGCAGATTTCATATTTGCTAATGTGCGATCCAGAGAGCAGATGAACAATATCTGCCTTGGCAAGAGAAAAATTATTAAAATGTGCTTAAATGGACTTTATGGAATAATTTAGAAATATTAATAGTTTGCTTTAAACAAAAGACACTTTTGACAGTTTCTTCTCAGAATTGGTGTAAATTGAGTTACTTCAGTGATAGAATCATTTTAACACTTGAAATAGTTAAAACTGCTCAACATCTTGTTGAAGTGACTCAGAGTTAAATTAATCCCCGAATCTGAGAAGAACAAAATAAAAAGATTTTAAAAAATCATGGAGTTCCCTCAAAAATTATATTTTCATCCCGCTGTGTCATCTTTCAAAAATGTACCTGCAAAATTTCTAACAGTAACTGGATTTGTCAACTATTTATTGGCAACAGTATTTTCACACAATTATTCCCTGATTTATACACATTAACAAAGGAAGTGGATGTTCTCTTATCTTTATTAAAAAATGAATTATAAATTAATTAGCCTTCCCTTTTCAGTCTTTCTGGGAAATTGATAATAGTTGCACCACTTATTTTCTTAATGTTTCTGTTTTTACCTTCTGGACAAATGTTTTTCAGAGTATAGTAATATAAAAAAAATCTCCTGATCTTTACCAGGAAGCACTGTAAGTTTTTGTTAAAAGACTTTAACAAAAAAAATGTCAAGAATAAAAGAAATCTACAATCTTAAAGTCAAATTAAAGCTTTGAAATATTTTAATCCTAATCAATAGATCCCAGGGTTTTGGAAGGTTTTCAGAGCAAAAGGAAACAAAGTGGCAGGAAGTCAATTTAACTCTCGGCTGCTTTCAAACTTTCTGTACATGCTAACACTTAACATCTGTTAGTTAATAAGAAATTAAAAGATACTCAGGGACATCTGCCTGGTGTCAAGTTAAAGTTTAGAGACCAGAGTGTGATGCAGGGAAACACACACACACACATCTATAAATACACTCCAGGCTTCCAGCTGCAGCGTGATGTTTACCTGCCCTCGCCGCCTCACCTTTGCACGGTGAAATCAGGCCGCATACGTTAACGATGCCTCTGTTTGTCAAGCCGCTGCATTCATTAGCGCATCAGGAGGTGATGCGCCGCGCTCACCTGGGCTTGTTAGCACGTATCCGTCCCGCTGCTGGCAGCTGCATGTCACAACACGCGCTGCGTGCCACACTCAGGATGTCCAAGGGGTGGCTCCGGGGGCCGTTTGCGGCCCTCTGGATTATTTTGTTCGGCCTCTCGGTCTGCAAGCGCAGGGAAGGATTTCTACAACTAAAATCTGATTAAACTCTTTTGCTTTCAGATACCATACTGAAGTATTTTCCTTTATCAACAATATTTCTGCTCAACGTAAAAATGAGAAAAATGAACCCAAAACAAGTTGCTGAATATTTAGCTGGCGTTTTAAACGGACCTGTCAACAATAATTCACAGGTTCACTTTGCTTCATTACTATATTGTCTATTTAGTAAATTATTCAAGAAATAAAAACAACCAAATGTCCTAAGAAACACAATTTACACAATATTTGGCAGTTAAGTTTTCTCTGGTTGACTGTTGGAGCCTTCACTGCAAAAACATAAAATCTTAATATTTCTAGTGCAAATTTAATGAAACTAACTTACAGGTAACTTTATCAGCAACACATTGGAGTTTATTTTAAGTCAATAATTTCTTAATACTGATGAAAATGCACTAGTTCCACTGGCAGATTATTTCACTTTTAACAAGGGAAATAAGTGAAATAATCTGCCAAAGAAACTTTTTCATCAATATTAATAAATTATTGACTTGGAACAATTTATTTCTTGCTAAAAAAAACTACTTGTAAATTAGTTTTGTCTTATTTCAAGTGTACTGAGATATTTGCACCAAATTTGCTTTGTTATGTTTTTGCAGCGTAATGGCCAAACGTTTGGACACCCTGACAAATCTGCTTTAACTTTTCTCCTGTGCAAGAAAATCTGAAAACACAAAATGTTTTTCTTGTCATTTTCTACTTCGCCCATCTTTGTTTCAACTCCCTTTGTTTTGTTTAGACGCGCTAACCGTGGCACGCAGCGCTAACCGTGGCACGCAGCGCTAACCGTGGCACGCAGCGCTAACCGTGGCACGAACCGTCGCTCTGGCGCGTCGCGGTTGCCTCGGTTATGACCAGCCTGCACAAACACGTTCACCACTTTCAAGTTAAAACACTTCGGTTTTCGTTTTTAATTCTTGAACTGATAGCCATTAAGAGACTGGATGAAATTTGACGTGAAAAGCGGCATTTTCAGCTGAAAAACCACAAAATGCTGACATCTTGTCAATGTGAATGTCTCATTTGAGAAAGAGATAAAATCTGTTTTTTTGGATAATTTCATGTGTAAGTGTTTCAATAAATCAATTAATATAATCTCAAAAGTTTCCATTTGCATGATTTTTATTTTTTCTTTCTACAAAAAACTAGCAAAAGTCTTTAGTCTGGTGCTCTCAACTACAAGGACAGTTTTGTATACAGAGCCTTCATGAATTTTGTTTTGTTTCATTTCTGATATTTAAAGTCCAGTTGCAGTGTTAAATGCTCATCAGAATTTGAAATTTGTTTTCTTGCAACGTTATTCTTTATGTCGACGAATTCTAGGGCAATTTATCATCCAACAAAACTAATGATTAAATTATATACATATATAAAAACATGGCAAAGTTGCACATAAAACCCCGTACATAATTAAAGCTGTCATATATAATACTAGTAAAGAAAAGTCACAGTTAAAAGAGGGGAACAGAAAAAGGGGGCGGATCTTCTGAAGCTCCGCCCCCTGCTATGGGGCCAGTAAGGTTTGGTGAAAATGGTGTCAAAACAACATGTCGTATGTTTGACCCTCAATATTAATGCACAAAAAGCAGCAACGCAGTAAATGGCGCCACCTTTAGACCCGTTCAGCGCTCATTCTGCGCTGTTGATAAATAATCGGCAGATTTCACACTGTGAAACATCTGCGCTCCCTGCAATATAACTGAGCAACCAAGCTCTGCGTCTTAAATGTGAAGCAAATGAAGGTTTATTTTGGGGGGCTTGGAGAACCCAGACCCGGTTTCCTTCACCTCCAACAGCCGGACATGTTTCCGTGTCGCTGCGGTGAGCAGGTGTCCTCCGTCTTCCGCGTTCCCACGACGCAGCCGAGCGCAGCCCGCCGTCCCTGCATGCACCGCTGCAAATGGAGAAGGTTAATTATGTTGGAAAAGTCTCTCCTTCCTCTCCCCGTCTTGTCACGGCATGGGGCCTCCGGGTTCGGGTCGCCCAAACAAAAGAGAGAGAATACGTTAGCAAAAGCCTCTCCAGATATCTGGTGCATAAAGACATCACTGCTGATTCACTTTAAAGAGAATGCAGAATAACGTCCTTAGATGAAAAACGTATAGAAAACCCTCAACTTGTTTTATGCATTTTTAATGAACAATTTAATTTGAAGTTTGTGCCGAACAGCAGCGAAGATTATTATGGTGAAATAAAGTAAAGGTTCATGTTCAGGAGACACAATGAAGCAAAATAAACCAATTATTTAATAAGCAAGACATCTCTGGCCTTCATTCATCATGCATGGATGTAAACATTTACTAAAACTGAACATTATGTTATTGATAACTAGCACAAACACTGTAAAAACTAATTTAAACTAACTTGATGTTGATTAACAACAAAATTAAAACAAAACTATTATCCTGCAGAGCAACATTATTACAGTTAACCAAAGTAAATAAAACAATAATTAATTGACAAGAACTTTAACTAAAGTTAACTAAAACAAACTGAAATTGTAGATAAAATATCCTTTGCTTCAGTGTTTTTGAATCTATTTTTTAGTTTTTTTGAGCAGAAGAGAAATTAATATTTTCTTTTTCTTCCCCTCATAAGCAGTTTATGCGAACTATCGGCGAATTACGTCGCTCTCTACTCCCCCTGGTGGCAAAATGACGGCAGCACCAGAGTCAGCTGGTTGTTCAACAATAATTTCATGCATTTTTGATAATGGTATCTTCTGCTGATCAACCTGT